TGTAGCTTTGTGCATAATTAAAAACAAACAAACAAACAAGTTCCTTAAACATTACAAATCTTGTTAAATTGAAAAAGAAAAACACGCTGATGTGGTCAGTGCTGAGGAAAAGAATGAAGATTCATGAGTGCAAATGCACAGAAAGAGTTAGTGCACAAGGGGGTGTGTCACCCTCCTATTTGTGGAAAGCTTTTGCTGCATAATAACATCATTATGCATTAGCACAATTCACAAGGAAATCTCATGAGATTAGGTGGGTGTTCACTAAATGTTACTGGCATACAAACCTCTCAAGCAAAAGCATGGAGAAGATAGCTTAACTGTGTGCAGAAGTGTAGTATCATCTCGGAATTAATGAATTATCATCTTTGCAGTTTTTCTGGTCTTCTTTTTATAAATTAAAAAAAAAGAAGAGTGAATGTTCAACACCAACCAAGGATAATAATAGAAAAAAGCTATCCAAATTTTTACACTTAATATTTCATTCAGCTATCAAGCATGTACACTAGATTCACTCAAAAAAAAAAAAAGATCAATATACAGAATTAAACTGAAAAACTAATCTATTATTGGATAAACTAAGTACACATACTTTGTTCATTCAACAATAAAGAAGGTTTTCTGTTATAACAAAATAGTACTTCCTTTAATTCTTTAGAATCGACCTATCTAACTTTTACAACTCTACTTTCTATTTCTTCATTATAATTCTTATATTTTTGTATCAGTTCTAAAACTTTCCTCTTTGGTGATAGTTATAATAAAAGCATTACTTTAGCTTGTCTGTCTGGTGCAAGTAAGGAGTACAATGGAAGAACAAATAATGGTTGACTAGTCTGCTTCCCAAGGTCACCTTGTACCCTATAATCATCATCTTCATCTGAGAACAAGTTGTCACCATCTTCTCCCATCTCTTCTTGTATTCGTTCTTCATCCATTGGTTCGACTGAATAGCTAGGAGAATTTACTTCTTAGAAGACTTACAAGCAACCAGTAATACTTCTAGTAAAATATTATATATATATATATATATATTATTCTAATTAATAAATTACATTTTCAAAAAAACAACCTGAAGAGCCACAACTAGATTGAAACACAAACTAAACCACATGAATGAAATTGTTGAATTTGAGTCTTTATATCTATAGGCTTAGATATTTTTTCCAAACTCTTTACTGGGCATAAAAAGTTGTGATAAAGGAAATTACAGTTACTGAATTATTAATTGTAGTAGAATTTCAGATCACTAACGACTTATTGCTAGATTTCATTGAAGATGAACAAAAACAGGTTAAAATGCTGTTAAGTCTCAAAACTTCAGCAGTTACAAGTCTACATTCATGGACTTAAGAAATGTGTACAACATGGTGAACCTGAGAAGAAACATAATAATAAGATTTGAAGTCTCAAAATCCTAGCAGTTACAACTCTACCTTCAAATACTTTTGACAAACAAGAGCAAAATAAGTTAAAATGTTATCAAGTCAAATGTGTACATTTTAATAAATATGAACAAAAACAACTAAAACTGTTGGAAAAACCTAAACTGCTGGAAGTTTCAGCTCACATAACATTTGCCTTTGAAATAGCAACCTTTACAAAATCCAACTAATAAATACTAGTGTGTTACCATAACTCAAATAATGAAGTAACGTGAAGAAAGTATTAGTTATTTGTTCAAAGCAACTAAGACTGATTTTATAAAACACATACGAGCAGGACACAATGATTCATACAAGTCTTTAAAAATACATTACGGAAATTTTAACATACAATAATTTCAATCAAAGTAATAGATCAAACTACACTTTTTGTAAATTTTGCTGGGTTAGAATCAATTTCACAAGTTTAATATTTTTCTTTTTTGATACCTACTCATCAAGATTAATTTTAGGCAACAGTTCGAATTTTCTTCCTTTCTTCTGCATCCTTTTTTTCTCTCCACCCTTGAACTTTTGTTTGAAAGACTTTACATCATCCCATTCACCATCTGAATCCTGAATATTTTCTTCTTCTTTGGTGCTAGAATTTTCATTTGAAGTCTTGAACTGTTGTTTCTTGGCAAATGGAAAAGTCCTCTTTAATTTCCAGCAGAGTGACTTTATCTCTTGTTGACCAGTAACAAACACAAGTATTCCTCCCTCTGGTAGTTGTCGATGAATCTTACATATCTAAACAATATTGTATATCACATATTTACTATATCACCTCTAGTTCACACTCAAACGTGGTACACAGTACATATCCATTAAGACACACAAACTATAATTTCATCACACCAAATAGTGGTTCACTGTACACATTTTATAACCTAATCACACTCAATAGAAGTTTACTCTACACATCCATTAAGTCACACATCTTGTAATCTTATCATACTGAATAATGATTCACTCTAAATATCAATTAGGTCATAGATCTCATGATCTCATCACACTCAATAATGATTCACTCTAAATATCAATTAGGTCATAGATCTCATCACACTCAATATTGATTCACTATAAACATCCTCTAAGTCATAGATCTTATAATCTATTCACACTTTATAGCAGTTCATTCTACACATCTATTAGATCATGCATCTTATAATCTCATCACACTCAATAGTGGTTCACCCTACACATACATTAGGACATACAACTAATCACAATCCAGAGGTTCACTCTACCCATCAATTAGGTCACACATTTCACTCAATGGTGGTTAACTCTACTTATACATTAGGTCATACATCTTATAAACTCATTAAGATTTATACTAGTGGCAAGTTGTGGATTAAAAACAGTCAGGGAAAATTTTTTTACACTGGGCCCACAACGATATCAGGGTAAGAGATTCTTGAAAAAGCTGAACTGAGACTGTTTTTAATGATGCACAGCCTGTATGCACTAGTACTGTAATGCACAAATCAATCAAAAATACACTGTGCAAAATATGCATTTACAATCCAATGTTTATTAAATTTACAACCCCTCTTAGTAAAGTACAAACCTATACAACAACAAAAGTTTAAGTAGTGTTACAAAAAAGTCACTTTTTTCAGATGGACTGATAACCCACTGGGAATTTTTTCTAAGTTCTGATGACCCAATCCCCTCTTGATTCCCACTGTTCTTATCTGTTATCTAGCAAAACCATGGGATTGGTATGTTTAAACTGAATAACACTTTATGTACATATGGACTAAATGGCCAGACCTAAGCATTAAATTATTAGTTAATTTTATGCTGTTTATTTACCAATAAAATCACTTTTTAAACATCTTCAGTATTTTAAGAATAAAAAAACAAAAGTGACATTTTTTGGCACAATGAAGGGTAAAATCTTTATTTCAGCCAACTAGTTTTGGTAACACAGTTACCATTGTTACAGCCAGTGATCAGAACTAATCGACTGAAATATCTAATGGATTTTATCTTTCATTGTGCCAAAAAATTTTTTTGTTTTTACTCTTAATACAGTAGCATAATGTATCTGAAAAGAAATTGTATCTTCAGTATGTCTTTTTTTTTCATTATATACAGGAAACTAGCCTAAAAACTATTAGATTTTTTATTGCTGGTTATTGAGGGAATTAAGTTTCTGTACAGTGTGTTCTTAACCACCTTACAAGTTAATAATAACAGTATGTTAAGAAGATCAAAATATAATACAAAAATATGTTAGCAGCTAACTTTTTCTTTGTTTTAACCTCTCATAGATCCATTCATATTTGTTTGTTAACTTTTGTGAAAAGTTACTCAAGTGGTAGACTAAAGAAAAGTCAGCTAGTCAACACCATCCACCACCAATTATTGGGCTACTCTAGATGAATATTAAGATTTGACTGTCACTTTTATAACATATCTTTAGCCCAAAATTACGGACTGCAACTTTTTTGCTGATAATGGGGTGTAAACTACAAAAGCTCAGATCCACAGTCCAGCTAACTAACCACTGGACCTTGTTCAGCCCACCATTAATATACAAAGAACATTAATAATGGTAAATTTACTTTTCTGTAAGCATCTCCCAAATAATCTTCAACTGGAGTACGTTTGTTAAAATGAACACTGACAGGAAACTGACGAGACTCCACCTTAAAACCAGAAAAGAAAATTACAACAAAATACAAATTATACACATGGTATTTTATACTGCAGTTTTCAGTAATCAAAAATGGAAAGAAAGTACACATTTTGAGTACTATCTCCAGCAAAAAAATAACCATGGATGCTTAAAAATATATTATTCATACAAGTACATTAAAGTAAACAAATGTGAAACTGAAGAAAAAAGTGTTCAAGTATTATCTAGCTTAAAAAACCATAAAATGTCAATTTTCAGTTTTTAAGAATATCATTTAAATCTTCCTAATCAATATTATTGTTAAACCTTAAGTAAAAACCAGAAGTTAAATTTCAATAGAACTCTCACTTGAACTCACAGTGTCTTCCGGCTCAATAATTCTATCATTATGTATTAGACTTTTCTTTATAAAGCTAAGACTAAGATTATAATTATTGTCATGTTAAAAACTGATAAACTTCTTGAGGTTCATAAAATAAAAATAACTCCAAAGAATGCTTGGCCCTAAGAATGAAACTCATTAAATTTTTGTTAAGCCAAAAGAAAGCTTTTTTTTTATCATAAAATTTACTATATACTCAGATAATTAAAAAACACAATTATACATTTTGGTAATATGACCTCAGAATTCAAAGAAGCCCATAATTAATGAACAAATAACTTCAATTACAAAAGTCATAAACACTACAACTTCTGAAAGAATTGGTACTCAAATTTAAAGTCTTCTTCATAAACAAATTACATTTTTTAAAGAAACTATTTAAAATATTGCACAATAAGACTTGAATAACTCTTTCTTTTTTAGATACAGCTGGTGGTTTCATCACACAAAATAAAAGTAATGACTGACACAACTGGAACTTTTCATACTCATTATATTCACTTATTACCTTAATAACCGGAGGGGGCTTCTTAAACAATCTGGGATTCTCTGTGAAATCTTCTACTCTCAGTGTGGCTGACATTATGACCAACTTGAGAGGGTTATTTCTCTGAAAAAAGAAAAACATAACACAATAATCTCAGCAAATATGAAAGAAATATGCACAAAAAGACAATAACTGCAAAAAATAAGCTCTCCAAATATATAAATTCACTACCTCATTTAAAAACATTAACGATACTTTTAAAAAAATGGTATGGTTTTATTGGGTTTCTTAAATAGAAATTTATCCATTTTTTTTAATCTTACATGTTTTCCATTTATTTTGAATGACATAAAAAGGAATCACAATGAAGCTTTAAAGTAAAACTGAAGTATTTATATCTGACAAAAGAAACATTTTTATTTCTTTTTTCATGGTTAGTAATCAATACCATTCCCCAAATCTAATTACTAATTAGTTACTAAATTAACAAATAATAAAAGAAAGATAAGAGAAGGTTTCTACATTCACTTAACTAATAACACAGTCAATCTAATCATAGTAGTCAACAAAACCTGAATCCCTCTCTTGAAGACACTCAATTAAGTTATCTAATGGAGACTCCATACAATTAGATACCAAACCAGCCTTTCTATCAAGAAAAGTCAGGTTCTAATTGTGGCCATTACCACCACAGAAAAAAGTTACTCAGGGTTTCTCTGATGACATCAGCAGATTAGTGGCCAAAAAAGTAGACAAATAGTATTTAGTAGCTAATAATTTAAAATATTAGCAACTAATTAATATTTAGGCTTAGATTATAGACAACTAATTTGACAGCAATTCATTCCAATCCCCACAACCTGCTAAGTACATTTATTTCTATGTTTAGGCAACTATGCAGTTTATCTTTACCAACTAAAACTATCACATTAGCAAGTAATTTAAAATCTGCAAAGGACTAATTAACAGAAATGTGAAAAAAAAACATCAGCAGTCTAATGTGATTTTTATCATGAATTTAAAAGCATACCACACTTGCTAATGATTTAAAATCTGCAATGGACTAATTAAGAGGAATGTGGAAAAATAAAATTGTAATTTCTGTCATGGATATTAGCTCCATCACCTAAGGTACTCAAGAACACTGTCATTTTCCCTGATGAAGTGAACCGTAATAGTCACCAATCATAAAAAAATGTTCTACTTACTAATCAAATTTTTTATATTAGTGTTACACATCTGATTGTGTAATGGTTTGTTTAAAACATTTTACCTTCTCTCTTTCTTTAAAATAAATTACATACATACTTGTGCACATCACACAAGAAAGAAAAAACAACTTATTAAAGGTTCTTGTAATATTTTCCACTTAGTAATAATAAATTAAAAATACTTAATAAATTATTTAAGAGGCACAAGACTATCAAATTATTTTTCTTTTAATAAAATAAGGTAAGAGTTAAACAGTTTCCATTAATCCTTTAAGCAGACCAAGATCTTCAGGTTAAGATTTTAGAAGAAGCAAAAATTAGCTTAAACAAATTGTCAGACATCTTAATCTTTTTTTAACATTACATAAGGTAGAATATAAACATCTTTCACTAATCCTTTAACCCTACTGCAATGGACTCATGTATTTCAAAGGATCTTGTATATCTTCATAAAATTCTGCAAGCTTTCAGTAAATATTAAATCTTTTGAAGACGAAAAAATCAGGATTTTTAATTATGTATTTATAATAAAACTTTGTCCGTAACTATATGGTGCCAATGATGCTATATGACTGCAAAGTGATTTTCCATGTAAAGATTAAAAATACTTTTCTTCATCTGAAAATATTCCAATTTTATTTTCATGATCCCTAAAACCTCCTAAATAAATATTAAATTTTTTTTTTCAGAAAAACTTTATATTTTATCTCTAATTTTCTCTACTATAATTTTATACACGGTTGGTCAGTTTAACTGATCTTATAACCATCATAAAAAACATTAAGAAATGGTTTTAAATTATCTTTTTTTCTGTCTGGAATGACTGCAAATTGTAACAGGAAGCCACAATGACGTTTGGAACAGTATACATCTATTTATACTTAATTTTATGGTTTTATTGTCTTTTGAACCTTGTCTAATTAATAATCCTGCCATATAAGTTGTAAATCACTCAGCAAATGTGTAACTAATGTTACCCTATCAAATTACATAATGCACCAGTTACTCACCAGTATACCTTGTGAAGAATTTTTTTTTTATCTTACCTAATATAACCTAACAAATCTATAATTTGTATATTTTAGTTACTTTAATAATAATATAGAAAGAAAACACATGAAAAACAAAAATATAGTACTTACCTGAGTCGTTTTTTTTTTTGCTGTTGCCTGTTGAAACTTATCCTACCTTTTTATACTAATGGTACTAATATACTAAATAATTTTTTATTTGATTAAATAATGCACCTAAAAACACAGAACAATAACACATAAAAAATAAAATGTCCATTAACTATCATAATTTTTCTGGCTTTCTAACTGTGCAATAAGAGCCATTAAAAATTCATCTAATCTTGTCGATGTACTTCCTATGGGAATAAAGTTTGTAGCCAAATAGACAATCCTCTGTACAGAAAACAATGTAATATAGTACATCATTTGATAGATTAAAACTCTGGCTTTCGATTGCTTATAAATAATATAGTATAAAACATCAGTGAAAACTATTAACAATTTGTGAAAGAGAGGATGTGACAGCAAGAGGGTGAGTTAGCAAGTGGGTCTGGTTTTCTACTTTATGGCTCTGTAAATTATCAGGTAATCTAATGTATATATTTTTAATTTATAACATGTGTGTTCATGATTAAAAATCAACAGTCACAGCAAACTTGGAAACCAAAGTTTGCTTATCTTAAGTTTGTATTATAAAGAGTTATACTAAAAGTTGTTAGAAATACATCAAATGATTTTGTTAAAGATATAAATTATGAGAAGTTTAAATTAAATGATAGGAGCAGAGAATTTCCATTAAATTCTCCTCCCTTCATACACTTCAAATATGAAAATTATCTTTAAAACTTTGATGTTCCAAAATTAATTTCAACTTAAATACAGAATTCTGAGCTAACCTTTTCTCTCAGAGGAACAATGCGTGACAACAGACCAATGAGAATATCAGAATACACACTTCTCTCGTGGGCCTCATCAATGATGATTACTGAATAACGAATCAGAAGAAAGTCCTAAAATATGAGATTAGGAACATAAAAGTTATATTCTGTTTAAAATCGATTAATATTTTCTAGAAAATAAGAAATTTGTATATATTTTAGGCTCAAACATTTCAAAGAGAATTCTGACTAATACAGTTTACTTTAATATTGTCAAGTTTTATGTATGTGCCAGATTCTTTATAGTAGGTGTCTGTGACTTGTTGGCAATAAATTTCAACAATAAACAAACATCAACACAGTCCACTTGTTTCAAAATAACATATTAAAACAAGTCAAACATATGTATCACACTGTTGGATATCACAGTTGTAACCAGAGCTTTAAATAATTGTCTCATTTTTGTCAAAGTCCACACAGAATGGTTCATTTCCTTTAGAACACAATTCGACAAGAAATATTCTTCCTGCTCTGTTATTACAATACAATCTGTGATATTTCACTCTAAAGTTATAATTTTCCTATGCTGAAAATGTATTTCCGATAGGTACTTACCTCCCCTCTCACATATATAGCTATTCTCGTTCAGTGCTGCCCTCTATATGCAAAAATTGTTTGCACATACCACAAGCCTTGAATCTCACACTTCTGGAATTGACTGATTCCAATGTGACTCACATGCAAATCATCATGCGACAACTGTCCACCAATAAGAATGCAACATACTTTCTTGATGCATGTGACTCCCTCTATTCAATTCTACCTAACTACCACTTCCAAGTTTTAGCTGAAAATGGAAGCACTGGTTTTCAGTGGCAAGGAAGGGTGGGAAGAGGTATGTACCTATTGGAAATACATTTTCAGAAAAAGAAAATTATAATTTCCAATACTGTACATTACCTACTCTCACATAAATAGCTAGAATCCCACATTGAAAAGGTGGAGGGATCAGTGCGAAGGAAAGAAAGAAGCATCCTTTGAAAGCATCAAAAGGATATTCCCAAAACGATCTTCAGAGTCGAAGATCATACTTTCCGCCAATTGTGGAAAAATGTTGCATATATGGGGAGAAAATCAGAGGAGCACATTCAAATGTGAGAGAACTATGGTAGGATAGTGATCCGAACCATACATTGTATATTAAAGTTATGAAACTCAATCCAAGAAAACATAAAAGTGGGTAAGATTAAAAGATGTGCCCCTAGGTGTAGAGTGGCTAGGGCACAACGAACTATACATGGCAAGTCAACTACATTAAAAACACTTTTGTGCATCAGAAAATTTCAAAATTTCA